TACCAGGGTAAAGAAGTGTTTGTTGATACTCATAGGAATAGGAAGCAGACAGTAAACAAATGGGAAACCCAAAGAAGCAAAGAGGAGAAAGCAAGTCCCTTCTTCCTGCATCCTCGCCCTCTCTTTCTAGTGCCAGTTATTGGCAGAGCTTGGTGGAGGCCAGCTAGCAAAGCAGAAATGTGGTTTGCAGAGTTCCAGCCCCAGGATCCAAAAGCAAAGTATAGAAGGGTGGGTTTGGAGCTGACAGACAGTAGCATAATTGGCTTGGTCCATCCCTTTGGCTATTTGGTGTCCACAGACCCTTCTGCAGATATTTGAACTCCCGTAAAATAATAGAAGCAACTCTGTTTCTACTTAACAAGATGCAACTATCCTTCATACGTATATTTCAAACAAACAAAGCTATTCTCACTCCATCTCCAATATATGGAGATAGAAAGTTCCAGTAATAATTGTATTTTTTTCTGGGAGATAGTCATACTACACATCTCTGGGGCATGATATTAATTTTTAAATTCAGTCTAAGTCTCATCTGCATATTCTGTTACCTGAAAACTAAATTTTAAAGTCAACCTGCAACAAAACTTGTACAAATAATAAGGAAAAGAGAGAGAAGAAAATGGTTAAGATATACAAATAGACACACATACAAAGTTGTTCTAATCTTCATTTCTATAACTGGTCACAAGGGTGTAATTAATATTTATAATTTCCTTCTGTACTGGCCACCTGCCAATTATTATTTTTTTTTCCTTTTTAATGGTATCCATTTGATGTATCCTTTGCCCTCAGCTAGGATCTCAACTGGTTAGGGTTTTTACCTGGTGGGATGACCCAAACCTTCATTTCCTGAAAGATGGAATCTTCAGTGGCTCTGCCTTTTTTGGTTGCAGAAGTTTTCCATTAACTTTTACTATCGGACATGGAAGTAGTAAGAGGCATCCCAGAGAATCCCTGGTTCTAGACATAGTCTTCTCTGCCCTTATTGTTAGTAGGAACCTAATGTCCCCCTGGAAATCAGGATCAATCACTCCAGGTAGTAGAATAATCCCTCCTTTGCCTATTGGTTCAATGGCATGAGGAGCTCAAAATGGCCAGATGGTAGTCACAATATCTAATTCAATTAAACCATTGTGTGTTCTCTTATGGAAGCATTCTACCTATAGGAACTAAGACTTTTAAACTAGCAGAGCTCAAAATTGGGGAGATAGGATATGTTGTGTGCTGAATTGTGTTCCCCCTAAAATTTATATGTTGAAGCCCTAACCCCCAGTACCTCAGAATTTGAGTGTATTTGGAGATAGGGCCTTTAAGGTAAAATAAGATCAATTAGGATGGGCTCTGATCCAATCTGACTGGTGTCCTTATAAGAAGAGGAAATTTGAACACACAGAGAGATGCCAGTGGTGCATGTGCACAAAGGAAAGACCATGTGAGGACATTGTGAGAAGACAGTCATCTGCAAGCCAAATAGACCTCAGATTAAAACAAGCCCGCTGACACCTTCATCTTGTACCCTCCAGTCTCCAGAACTGTGAGAAAATAAATTGTTGTTTATGCCACCCAGTCTGTGGTATTTTATAATGGAAACCCTAACAAGCTAAGACGGCATACAAAAATTCTACAAGTGGGTCATTAAGTGTAAAAGTAGGAAGAGTGACTCCGTTCATCCTTTGATTCCCTGACCCATGTATTCTCCTGTAGGAAAGACAGCACCTTAACTGATCACTGATTCAAAACACGCATCACATGTCAGATACAACCCCATCCACTCAGAATGGTGCCATAACTGGGTCTTCACAGCCCAGTCCACATTCTGTTAGGGCAGTTGGTTCTGGGTGATGGAGTATGGGACAAGATCAGTGAACTTCATGGGCATGAGCCCATTGCTGCACTTCTCTTGCTGTGAAATGAGTTCCTTGATCAAAATGATGCTGTGTGGAGTACTGTAACTGAATAAGGCACTCCGTAAGTTGACAGATGTGTTCCTGGCAGAAGGAGTATGGTTTGGGGAGGCAAATCCATATTCATAATTCATGTTTATTCCAGTGAGGACAAATCTCTGTCCCTCTGATGGAAGGAGTACAGTGTAGTCTACCTGACACCATGTGACTGGTTGGCCCCCTCAGGGAATAGTGTCATATTGGGAGCTTAGTGTTGATTTCTGCTGTTGGCATGTTAGGTACTCAGTAGTAGCAATAGTCAATTCAGCCATGATGAGGGGAAGTCCATGTTATTGAGCCCATGCATAACCTCCAACTCAGCCACCATGGCCACAGTGTATGTATAGGTCTATTGAATAAGCACCAGGGTGGATGGGGAAAGAGGTGGACTGACATCCACAGAATGCACCATTTTGTCCACCTGATTATTATTATTTTTTTTTCCCCTTTTTGTCTTTTTTCGTGACCGGCAACGGATCGCAACCCTCAGTGNTACCTGATTATTATTATTATTTTTTCCCCTTTTTGTCTTTTTTCATGACCGGCAACGGATCGCAACCCTCAGTGTCACGCCTGTACTGGACCGGGACCGGCAACGGGATCGCAACCCATGGTGTTGCTCCTGCCCCTCGCTCAGCCAGTGAGCGGCCGGTCTGTATGTGGGATCCGAACCCTCGGCGGGAGCGCCACCGCACTTCCCAAGCTGCGCACTGTAGCAGTGCGCCACCGGGCCGGCCCCTGTCCACCTGATTATTGAGAGCATTCTCTGTAGTAGATGTTCTTTAGGGAGCATTCATATGGGACACAAATATCTTCACACTGTGCCCATTCTGAAGGGTCCATCTTCTTCCCCAGGCTTCATTGTTGCTGATCTTCCAATTTGGTCTTCCCTAAGTCCATGATCATCCAGCCAAGCAGTTAGCAGCTGCCCATAAGTCAATGTAATCTGTGTGTACTTCTGACTGTCTCTTGGTCTGGACAATGTGAACAAACAAATGTATTTCTTGAAGTTCTGACCACCAGGGGGATTTCCCTTCATCATTTTCCTTCAGAGCCAACCTTGGGTGGGGCTATACTCTGATAGCCACCCAGTTCTGCTTTGTGTCAACATAGCTTGCAGAATCATCACCAGACCCCAAGAACTTGACTGATAGGCGAGCACTACAGGGAGACTGCAAGGGTGGAGGGAGGAGTACTTGCTCCTTTCTCATAGTTCCTGTTTGCTTCCTGTTTCTGTGAGTGTTATCCTAGGATGCTTCCTGACCCTGGAAGTGGCAGAACCTTCCCACAACAGCCAGTGAACCTCTTTAGTGGCTTTATTAGATTTATTAAAAAAATTTTTTTTCAGCTGTCTGGTACAGGGATCCAAACCTGTGACCATGGTGTTATAAGGCTGCACTTTAACCAACTGAGCTAACCGGCCAGCCCTTAGCTGAATCTAATTTGCAGCTTTTCCGACATTGCAGAGCCAGTCTTGTCCCCACCTTTCCTCTAAGATACCAGCAGAAACACCACAAATGATTGTATGGAAGGGTGGGTTTGGAGCTGAGAGATAATACCTTAATAACTGGCATAGGAACCCACTCATAATTATTTTTTTCTAGTACATAAAAGAGAAAACTCTGAGGAAGGAAAAAAATACAGATAATATATTTTTCAAGCCTGGCTTCACAATAGACTTACCCGGGGAACTTTAGGAATACACTATAATTTTATATTTAGAAAAAAAATTAAATATAAACATATATAATATACAACAAATATATAAGTATATAATAAAATATATAAATGTATGTTTAAATATACAAATATGTATTTTAAAATATATATTATATTTCATATTTGAAAATATAAAGATGCTTAGGCTCTTTCTCTGGAGATTCTGATTTAATTAGTCTGGGATGGGAGTTGGCATTAGTATTTTGTTAAAAATCTTCCTAGGTGATTCCAGTGTGCAGCCTGAGTTGAGAACCACTGATATAAAACAATGAAAAAGCCAGAAATCCTTTAGTTTGGATGTGCACATAGTTTAATCAGAGAGACAGAAAAGACTAATACCAATTAACACAGGCAAATCACTGCCCTGAACTGACTTTGAGTAGAAGGGCTGTGAAAGGTGAATTCTGGTCTGAAGATGTCTTTTGTTTAGTAATGCTATTGTGTCTACTCAGTCCTTATCCAGCTTACAACGCAGCTGAAACTGGAGGAGACCATCAATTGCCTGCTGGATGAGTGCCACAAACAGGTCAGTAAATAGCTGTGCATTCTTGAGACCCCTCAGAATCTTCAGATGTCAGAGCTGGGCCAACCCTTCTTTGAACAGATAGGGAGATTGAAGTCCAGAGAGGAAAAGGGACTTGGCCTGAGGTCGCCGAGTTGGTGGCAGAGTCAGAGCTGGGCCTAGGCCTACTAATCCTATTCCAGTACTCTTTGCATCTTCCTCCCTTCCCCTTTCAATTTCCCAAATGCTACCTCCATGCAGTGAAGTCCCATCTTTCTGGCTTAATCATCCCTTGGTCCATTTTCTGTGTTTTTGTAAATATAATACAGAATATAATACAGAATATATTATATTTTGAAAATATAATATGAATTTATCAAGGAAATATGTTCACTATGTCTTGGTTANTTTCTGGCTTAATCATCCCTTGGTCCATTTTCTGTGTTTTTGTAAATATAATACAGAATATATTATATTTTGAAAATATAATATGAATTTATCAAGGAAATATGTTCACTATGTCTTGGTTGGGTGTTTTTATTTGTTTTTAATTGTATACTTACCTTTGTACTGAAGACATTTGCTTTTATCAACATCTAAGGTAAGCATTAAGTGGGTATGTTTAACCTGCCTTCTTCAATGCAGTCAGTGATACCAATTAAACAGCAGCTTTTGTATTGTTTAAGATTGAGGAATGATACAAGAATCACTTTTTATTTATTTTGTAGAAAGGAAGACAAATGTTTATCTTAACACCATCAAGAGCAATGTTTAATTATAAATTTTATTTAAATGATCATATGATCGTTATTTTGCACATTATTAACATAGCATATTCAATTTATAATTATATATCAATACTCATCATTATGATGATGTCACTTAACATTTATTGTGTACTTTCTATATGCTAGTCACTGTGTTAGGTGCTTCATATGCGGTATCTCATTCAGTCCTACCAACAAACCTATGAGGTTGGTACTCTTATTATTTCCTGCCAGAGGAGTTAAGAGTCTTGTCCAAAGTGGTATAGCTAGTCAGTAGAAAAGGTGAAATATATACTATTGACTCTTACTGTAAAGAATTAAGCATAGTGCCTGGCACACATAAAGTGTTCGATAATAGTAGCTATAATAAGGATACTGATAATAATTTCTTTTGTACTGAGTCAGCATTCTGTCCTAATGAAGTTTCCAACTTTTGCCCTCCAGTTTCTGGTTCTAGATAATAGTAGCTATAATAAGGATACTGATAATAATTTCTTTTTTACTGAGTCAGCATTCTGTCCTAATGAAGTTTCCAACTTTTGCCCTCCAGTTTCTGGTTCTATAGGAGGCAAAATATGCTAATTTTAATTTGGTTTAACAAACATATACTGAGCTGGGTACTTGAGGACTCTGAGAGGAATTCGACTCTGTCCCTTTCTCCCAGGATTTCCCAGTGAAATGGGGGAGTTAGACACTTAGCTAAAGAAGCTGATTGCTGACTGTGGTGAGAGACACAATACAGGCGTTGGTGTGGGTAGGGCAAGATCCGTTTTGGTGGGAGATCTGTCCTGAGCCTAATTGACAGAGTGAGAATGTTCACTTCCTGTAGCTGTGTAACATGCCCTCCATGCGAGGCAGCCTGGCCACACTGACCCTTCTCGGCAAGTTGGTGGATGCTATCCCTGCTGTGGCAGACAAGCTTGTAGTGGAGCATGGTGAGTGACCTGTGGGGAAGAGCTACCACTGCCCTTTCACCTACTTTCATTACATTGCCACCTGGGTGGCCCATTCATTTTGTATGTGTGGGAAGTCATTACTTCCTGTGCTAGCCTTCAGTTTCCCCATCTGCAAAATGTGTTCTATGTTGGTCAATTTGAAAAAGATCAGTTTCTTGACTCTGGTCTTGGGCTATTTCCATTAATTCTTTAACACAAACTAAGTACCTACTGTGAACCTTCCTTTCGAGTGGAAGGAGGAATTAATGCTGGAATATAGAAGCACTTTTTTCTATCGGTGAAATGCAAATTAATATATCATAGAGAATTTACCCATAGTTATATCACTTTACTTCTTTAAGTTTTGGTTTTCCCTTTTGGCTAAGCACCAGAAGGCATTTATTGTGGGGGATTTATAGGGAATTACCGTTATTACCCCATTGGGGATAATAGTTTAGAATTTCATATAGCAGTTAACATTGTGAGATTTTCTTTGACTCTTTGGTTGTTTTCTGGACAGGCAACCTGATGGAGCATCTTTTGAGAGGCTTAGTATACCCCAGTGAGGGGGTGCAAGCTTCGGTCTGTTACCTCTATGGGAAGCTATACTCTTCACCAGTGGCAGCCGAGATGCTTTCGGGACACTTCCGGGAGAAGCTATGTCCCCTCTTCCTTTCTATCCTGGACGGTGCACAGACAAAGGAGCTACAGATCAACTGCTTGGGTAAGACATGTGGCTAGAGAGAAAAAGGAGAACAAGCTTTTGAGGTTTTGTTTGAGGACTTAAGATATTGGTTGCTCTAATGGTGGGGAAGTTTGCTGTTTTGCAAAGAGTAGTAGCCACGAGTTTGGGAAATAAGAAGCACAGACTGTATGAAAGATGCATAGAGTTGGTGTGGCATCTTGAGAATGTTGCCTTTGGAAGGAAAAGAGGAAGGAAAGTGGGACAGCAATTTTTCTGCCTCCAGTCTTTACCCCCTGCCCTGATACATCCTGTACTAGCTGCCAAATTAATCTTCATACTGCACAGCTTGCATCCTGTCACTTTCCTAGTCAGAAAATCTTCTACGGATCCCTCTGGCCTCCAGGGTAAAGTCCAGGTGTCTTAGTCATTTTGTGCTGCTATAACAGAATACCACATACTGGATAATTTATAATGAACAGAAATTTATTGGCTCACAGTTCTGGAGTCAGGGATCAAGTTTCCAACACATGGACATTCAAACCATGTCACCATGTTTCTCTGCTTGTTCTTTGAGGCTCTTTAGGAGCTGCAATATACCCTTTCATTGTCTTCTCCTGATACTTCCTTACATAAACACATAAAGCCTATCAAATGCTTCTGAGCATGGAGCCTTCATATTTTGGACAGAACAGATGGGTGCTATGATTGGTGACTGGGTGAGGGCCTGTTCTGGAGCAGGAGCTATAGGGAAAAACATAGTCTGTGGGTAACAGCAGCTTCTTTTCACAGTTTGGGCCAAGAGCTCTTTTATGAACAGTCTAGCCACACAGAGTGAGCATCCATTCTATACCAGGCCTTGTGCTGGGCTCTGGGATCACAGAGGTGATCAGACCCAAGCTCTATCCTGGGGGAGCTCACAGGACAGTGTGGAAGACGGACATGGACAATTAGAGTCCAGTGTGGTGAGTGTTGTCATGGAGGTGCACTGGAAAGGGTGGGAACAGGGGACAGGAGAGTCTTCCTGAAGGAAAGGATGCCTGGACTGAGTTCTGAAGTGTAAGTAGGAATTGGAAGGCGGGAGAGGAGGAAGGCAGACGCATGGGCAAAATCACATGGTGTGAAGCAGCTTGTATATGTGGTCACTTGAACAGGGCAGTATTGGAGTTAGAGCATATGATAGCTAAAGGGGGAAAACAAGGGTCCTAAGGTAAGGCCCTGAGCAGTCCCAGAGCTGGCCTGGGCATAGCAGAGGGAAATCTCAGCTGATGATTCTGGGAATTACCATTTTAAATGCCACCTCTTCTCTGGAGGCTTTCCTTACTGCCCTCTCCCCCACAGCCAGATATGTGGTCACATCCTTTGAATCCTTCAAATGCTGTGGGTCTTATGTTCTCTTATATATCATCTTATTTATTTGGCCTTAAAATCCAAGATCCTTATAAGCTCCTTATAATCTAATCCTTATTGACCTCTCCAGCCTTATCTCTCACCTCTCCATGTGTCTCATACCACACCCCAAACTCAGCCTTACTAAACCAAAAGCACTTCCAGTAACACACCATACTCTCCTGCCTTCCTGTATTCTTCCTTCTGCCCAGAATAAGTTGGCTCCATATCCAACTTTTCATCCTTCAAGATTTGGCTCAAATTTCTTCTTCTTCTAGAAGCCTTCCCTGAGCCTCCAGGCTGGGTTAGATGCTTCATCTGATTTCCCACAGTCCTCTGGGCTTTCTTTTTCACATTATTTAATATTAAATTAAACTAAATAGTGTTCATTAAATTATGTATTATTTAGAATGCTTTGGGAGCTTCCCATGACTTCTAGAATAAGAAACTTAGCATAGCTTGTATAGTCTTTCATAGTATGACTGCTTCTCAAATGTCATTTCTGTACTTCTTTTTTTCAACCACTCTGGCTTTCTTTCAGTTCCTAGAATGTTGTTCTCTCTACCTGGGATGCCTCTCCCCGCTCCATCTAGTTTCACCTACTTGTCCTTCAAGTTCAGCTTAAATGGCACTTGCTGGTGAAGGCTTTACTGATCCCCCGTACTAGGTCAGATTGTCTTGTATACACTCTCACTTATCTGGGTATTACTCATTTGTATCATTTATCACAAGTATAAGTGATCATTTTTGTGACTTATTTTTATGTCTGTTTTCCCTGCAGGAGTGTATGCTCCATTTGTCAGTCAAAAAATATTTATTGAGTTTGTTAATCTAAATAACAAACAGAGAGAAGCTCTCTGAAAGAATAATGAGTTTAGTTGGGAATATAATATTGCAGTGGGAATGCACATGCCATAGTAAACTATGTGCATATTCAAAGAGGTAAAGGAAGACAAAGATGTTTAAAGGCAAAAAAGAAAAGTATACATCATTTGTTTTGAAACAGAGAATTGGTTACAGGGGCTCATCACAGGAGTTGATGCCAGTTCATTAGTGGAGACAGTGTCAGTGTTCCTGTATATCCATCTAGCTGTCCTTGTGACTCATGTGGCAAGTTGTAGTTTGAAGTCCTTGGCAAAAGGTTTTTTTACAGGCATATGTGCATAAGAGAATCTTTGTATTGGTTCTATATCATAGTCATGTATGCATGAGGGCCCTCCCTTCTCAGCCTCCTAGCTTTGTTCATTTATTTTTTGTTAGAATTTGACACACATGATTCCATTTTGGTTCCAACAACTTTCACAAGTTTCTTTCTTTTTTTAAAAATTCTTTAATTTCCCACAAGTTTCTGCTACATGTCAGGAACTGTGCCAGGTGATGGATGAAGTGGTGACACTGACATTATCCCTGCCCTTATGAAACTTGTAGTTCAGTGGGGTAAGCAGGGCTATATTTGTCTTGCTTAACTATTGAACCCCTAGTCCCTTGGCCTTGCCCTTAGTAAGTTCTCTCTAGATCCTTTTGGAAGGGGGCTGGGTTGCAGAAAGCAAACTAATGCTTAAGGCTTCTAACCATTCTTCATATCTACGGAGATAAAAAGTTTCTCTGGGGATGTCTTAAGGGCTATCTTGGGAGTACTCTGGTACCTGTGTTCCTCTAACCTTACTTCCTAACCCCTTCATTTCCTAGGTTTGCTGAGGCAGCTGCTGAAGTATGATCTCTTTGTGTCCATGATCATGAACAAGTCTTCCCTGGCAGAAAGTGCTGAGAATGTAGAGAGGCCACCAGGAGAGAGCTCACTGCCTTTGGTGCTCAAAAAGGTAGTTGTCTTGTGATTCCTCGTCTCTAGATTCAATAATAAAGAAACCCAAGTGCCTCCTGGGCCTTATCCTCATTCATCATTTCTTCTTTTTAAGATTTTCAAAACTGTTTTGTTACTGGCCAAACAGTATGCTGCTAGAAGACTTGTTACTGGGACCCTAAAGGCCCATTTGCTCACTGCTGAGTAGCCAATAATCTAGAGATGAGAGTCAGTGTAAGGAACTGTTGGTAAGACTGTAAATTGCNGTAGCCAATAATCTAGAGATGAGAGTCAGTGTAAGGAACTGTTGGTAAGACTGTAAATTGCGGGCCAGCCCGTGGCTCACTCGGGAGAGTGCGGTGCTGATAACACCAAGCTAAGGGTTAAGATCCCCTTACCGGTCATCTTTTTAAAAAAAAAAAAGACTGTAAATTGGTGCAGCCAATTATGGAAAACGGTATGGAGATTCTTTAAACAACTTCAGATAGAACTGCCATAAGATCCAGCAATCCCACTGCTGGTTATATATCCAAAGGAATGGAAATCATCATGTCAAAGTGATACCTGCACCCTCATGTTTATCACAGCTCTATTTGCAATAGCCAAGAGTTGGAACCAACCTAAATGTCTGTCATCAGATGACTGGATAAGGAAAATGTGGTGTATATACACAGTGGAATATTACTCAGCTATAAAAAAGAATGAAATATTGCCATTTGCAGCAACATGGATGAA